GCAAGGTTTGCTTTTCTTCGAGCTGCCATGTAGTCGATGTATGTACATGTCCATCTCCAGAGTCGTTAAAGGGCTCGACTTGGGTCGCGTATTCGAGCATGTAGATCGAATGTGAAAATGAGGAGCCCTTTCAGCGGCCTCAAAGAGGCGGTATGTGACTCGTAATCTTCACAACTTATAGCTGGGCCGGCTTGGGGTTGTTGCTTTCTCAGTGGCAATACATAGTCGTAGTCGGTGAATCAATTTGGGGATCTTTGCGAACGAAGATGTGTTTGTGTCTGCCTTTTAGGGCTAGAAACAACGGGGAACTCGATAGAATAATATCGCCTTGTCATAATGTGATGAAATGGTGGACAAATGCAGCATCATTGAGGAAAAGAGACATGATGAAACTACAATTCGGGAGAAAATTGATTCTATTTGACTGGACTTGTGCCCAGAGATACTCTAGATGGGAATCTTGAGTCCATATCTCTGTGGACTGGGTGTTGATGGAGAAAGAGTAATTGAGAGGGCGGGTTGGGAAAGGCGAGGGGTTTATATAGTTTTTCCCGTCAGGAGACCTCTTCTAGCGCTCGCGACTCTTGGTCATCATAAAATGTTTTGTGACCAACTGAATTCAAAGGGTCTTCAGAATCAGCTCCATTTTTCAACTGTGAATCAAGCAATTTTGAGCTAGAGGGACACATGTTGACAAGGGGCAGATGTCACGGGATCATTATTCTCCACCGAATCCTCGAGGTATCTCTGGTGACAAGAAGGCTTTTGTGGTGAATAAACATTGAGAAACTGTTGTCATGTCCTGTGACTCGCAGTTTGGGTTTACGGTGGTAAGATTCAGTCTCGGTCGGCCAAATATGACATCCAATCACGACATGTTTTGCAGCCTTGATCTGGGAACTAGACTGAATTTCTATCTGTGCGTGAATATCGACTCGATCACAGATTCAGTTGTGACGATGACTGCTTATTGAGGATGGGGAGGCAGAGACGGAATGGATGACACCAGCCCTTCGCGGGCCTTGTCGGAAGACACTCAAGAACGAGAGTCAGTACAGGAGAGAGAGGAAGAGAAAAAGGAGGAACAAGAGCAGGTGCAGCGTTGAAAACGATGGGATAAGCCAGGAGACCACACCAGTAACTTGAAGCATAGGAAGGCTGGCACCCTGCTCTACGATTCCAGGAGAGAAGCATCGGCATCTGACCCGTTTCCTCAAGTGCATCTTCCTCCGCAGCATCATGTTGGCTTTCTGCGCCCTGGTAGAGGAAGCAGGAAAGCTCATGGCAATCCAAGGCCCGGCTCGGCTGGTCCAGGAGTCGTGCCGCCTGCCCTGCCTCTGCGGGCACCGGCAGGACCGTCTGCACACCGGCCTCGCCTGGGCCGCGAAGAAACCCATGAGCCAAGCGACGATAAAGATCCGCGCCTTATGATGGTCTAGGCCGGTATGTGATGAACGCTGCCCAGCTATATGAAGTTGGATACCTGGTGATGGAGACGGGTTGTATTCAGGGCCAAGTGCTACTTGAATCTACGGAGAAAGTGGAAAATTTTCTCCTGGAGCTCGGCTGTATCTTGATGGTTTTGCCGCACACAGCGCATCTTCAACCCTTATTAATCTTCTACTGTCGCCTTATATTGAACTACCAAAAGTGGGCCTCCATCAGATGGAGATCTATAATGCCTTAAATCCGTATAACATTTTATGAATAAGTTGATTGCCTAGGGGATGATTCGGTGCAGAGGATTGCCTAGCTGATGTTTTCTATCTCTCTGCAGTAAGGCGCGCGGATAGTAGTTACGGTGGACTATTATTCGCTAGAGTAATAGACCGGCTTGTATCGCGTTGAAGGAGATATTGATGAGACTATTGGTAGTCATAGAAAATATGTCAAGAGAAATAACTGATATAAGAATATGTTAGACTGCAGAGAGTAGAGAACTAAGAAAGCATGCCTAGTAGAAGTTGGATTCGGCCGTAGGCTGTTGCTAGATGTTTCCGCTCCATGACTTAATGGTCAAACCCAATACCACTCTGACAGAACATAGCTCAAGTCGAGTTCTTATAACTACAGAACTCCAAGATATAAGGAAAGCTAGCTGTTAATATAACAAAGAGAGTTCTCCACTAGAGAGTCAAGCACTATGTAGAATAGTGACGATTCAGAACATCTCTGATACAGCCCCGAACCATGACATAGTCTGTGCTATACTGCTCAAACTTAACCAAGTCGGCATGTGAGCGCCGGATTGGAATCCGATAGTCCGTTCCTTCCATCTCCCACGGGCGGCTGTGTGTGGCCGAATCTTCATCCACCAGCACCACCGGATCCCCTGTCATGGTCAGTTTGCCATCAACCTGATTTTACGCAGCATTAGCTTGTACTCGTCTCTGATGAGAAAACCTGTCATGGAACGCAGCATACCATCTTGGCAGTGTTGGACAAACACGTCTCATAGAAGGAATACACGACAGCGTCGCGAGAACTGAAACTTTCAGGAAAAAGACTAGATTGATCCCGAAGAAAAGATGAACCGATACTCAGAGAGGCCAAAAAGTCTGTGTTTGGTCGAGATCCGATAATGGCGAGGAGCGCACTGATATCCATCCCCCGATTAGGGACACCAAAGAACAAACATCCTATAGACGACTCAAAGCTGGACCCGTCTACATCGTCGTTCTTTGATTGAGACTGTTGGATCAGCAATTCTTTGATTAGAAGTCCGCCTAGGCTATGGCCGATGAATATCATGGGCCTGGTTGGATCATCTCGACGTATTTCCCGGAGTAGCCGTCTTAGTTGTATGCTCAAATCTTTGATGCTCTGGAATGAGTTGCTATCGTCTACACGGGCATTATATCCGTAGATGAGGACTCTTGGTCTTGTCGACCTGTTGGCGATTCTCATTTGGCAAAGGTCGTGCGTAAGAGCGTCCGATAACCACATGAAGTTGCTTCCTCGCTGCTTGAAGGACCCGTAGGCATGGCCGCCAAGACCATGAATGGCAATGATACTATGCCAGGTCCATTTGAGTCAGAAAGAATTGAACAATACAGTTATACCACGGTGCCGGATGAAGACTTACTCAACATTGGCTTTCAGCGAATCATTGCTGCAACCCAAACTTGTGAAGCCCAGAAATTCCATGTCGAATTTGACCGTACTTGTGGGCGTATAGGGTTTGCCATCGGATGTGTTGACTGTGGGAATTCGAATTTGCCATGATTTATCCAACGCGTACGAATGCATTTTCGGTGGCACACAACTAAAAGATACGATGGCTGTGTTGTCTTTGGACGAGAAAGCTTTGACCTCGACAGAGTCTCTGGGCATTGTCAGAATAGTCGAAAGAGCCTGGATGAACTCCTCACAGGTGATATCACTCGGGATACCCTGAGCCCGATACACCTTGGTCAACTTCTCCCCAACCAGCTGCGCCTGCGCTTCGATCGGTTTCCAAGGGCTCAGTGTGTTATTATATGACAACGGTCCACTCCGCCCTTCTCCAACCAGGAATGTGTCCAGATCCTCGTCGCTCATCTGTGCAAAGTCAGTCGTCGCAAGCTGCCATCCCTTGGTAGTCGCCCCATCGAATAATAAAGGATCGTCTCGTGACCATGGCCAAGCCTCAAGCTTGGCTCCTACGAAGCCGGTTGCATTGGCTCGGATTTCAGCCTTGAAGGGCCCCGAGAATGTCACAATAACAATCAGAGGAATCACATCGCAGATGCCCATTTTGCTATGCCGAGGTTCCGCAAGTCTCCAGCCAACTTGGTTCGGCTCATCCTTGGATTTTCCGAGCCACTCGACGTTCGAAATGGAATAACTAGCGACTGGCCAGAGCAGTAATGAATTCGGCGTCTGTATTCCAGGGGGTGGAAGCTGGACTGACGTGGAATGCGGCGATGCCTGCGATGGAAGCGACGAGGTTGTCGTACGGTTATTCTTTGGGCGTACTCTTCGAATGACCGGATGAGCTTGGTCCGACTCTTGCGACTCGAACTTGAGCGACAGCTCAGCCCGTCTGAATCGGAAATTCCCTTCGGGGGCGCGCAGCCTGAACTGCAGGACCAGCATGGCCGCCATCTTTCCATCCCAGGTGCCGTAGGCTACGCAGGAAACGGTGGCAATTATGCCGCAACTGAGAAATTCGACATGGGTTGCCTTGGTTCTCGTATCTCTGTCATTGGCGTTGCGCTGGCCCAAGTTGCCGGAGCCATCGTCCTCCCCGAATACGCAATATCGGGTATCCAGGCTGGACGCCATCTCTTGTCGCGTATTAGCTTCTCAGATTCCTGCTGAGAGGTGCTGTGAGGTTCTCACACGCCTGAGCAAGTCAGGTGAGAGAAATAGATGACCTGGCTGGTGGCCTCGAATAGAAGCGACCTGCAGCCCCCGATGACTCGGATTGGTTAATCATGGCCAGCGGGCATTGGCTGCCTTTTCTGAAGCTCAGCCCTCAGATGCGAGCCAGGGTGCGGTTCGCCCAATTCAAGAACACTCAAATTGAATCGGAATGGACTAGGAAGGCGAAACGGCTGAACTATTGCCATTCTGCCTTGTCCAAACACCGGGAGTCCAGGGAACGAAGAGAGTCTACCGGCTAGAAACCCCACGATTCGATAATCATAGTGAACGGGCTCATTCAAGGCGGGCACGGGAGTATGGATCGGCTGATCTGCAATGACGACGAGTTTTCACTAGACTGGCAGGAACTCGTTACGAAAAGCCGCCAGAAGTCCGACCGAGCTGAATATTCCAAGGCGTTGGCCATCCTCCGGAACTCGGTTGACTGTTTCTCGGGGGCCGATCGACTGCGAATTCTCCTAGAGATTGCTAGCATCCTCGGAGCTCAGGGCTACAAACGTGATGCTCTGGAGGCTCTAACGGAAGATATAGGAAAGCTTACCAATGATCTGACCCCCGAAGAGACGTTGCTAAGCACTCAAATGAAGATGGAGACGTGTCTGCTGAGACCTCTCGTGACAAGTTCGTTCAAAATGGCCATGGAAGAAGCGGAGGTCTTGCGGAGTCAAACCTCAAACTTTGCAGCAGCCAAGGACCTCGACTCAGCAATAGTATTGTTTTATCCGAATAACTAATGATTTGCAATTTCCATCTAACATACCCCGGTTCTAGATCGAGACAGCGTTGACCTATGCAAAACTACGCTTCCTATCCTGCGAGTATCACAGTCCAGTCGCGCACATGGAGCTCGAGGCGATTGTCTCCTGGCTGTTGCCGACTTTTGACGACCTCATTTTGGCTTGCCGCTACCGCGAATCACGAAAAGTACTTTACGCTTACGGCGCGTTCCTTGCCTCTGCTCCCAAGCTGGGGGTTACCAATCTCGACTTTGAGTCCTGGAATCGGATGGTGGAAGCAGTGCTCTCTGTGCCCAACGTCCCTCCGCTCATTAGAGCCGATGTAATGGCGCAACTCGCCATGAGGGCTGATGACAAGCTTGGCGGCGAAAAAATCACCAAACTGGAGGAAGATGCCATCAAGATGTATAATGACGAGGGTCACTTGGTGGGCGCTATAGATGTCCGGTGTCAGCAGATGAGCCGCGCCATCAAGAAGGACCACACCAGTCTTGGCGATGAGATTCTTGAAGAGCTAAAGGGCTACTTTGAGAAATACGAGGCCAGTGAAACGCTCGTTTCGTATCAGACCGCTGTCCACGCAATGCTTGCTCATATTCCGCACTGGCTAGGCTTCGATGTGCAGTTGCAGCTATCTCACAAGAATGACGAGCTGGCCAACCTGTCCGGGGCCCTTTTGATAAGTCAGGCCGTCCGCTTCCGTCTCATAGCACAGTGGATTACGCGATCGGGTGCCGCTCCTCGTGCGGTAGAGGCATCCGAGGCCGTCTACGCAGCTCTCCAAGACGGCGACTGTATATATTTTCAAGGCATGGCAGCACATTGTGCGTCACAAGCCTACGTTCAACTCCGAGACCATGCCAGAGCGCAATCATGGGCAGAAAGCGCAGCTGCTCTGTGGGGGAAAGGGTTCCCTCGTCTGAGGGCAGATGCGACCAACATGATTCTCCACGCGAAAATTGGACATGGTGCAGAAAACATGGAAAGAATGAAGGACATTACATCGTTTGCTGAAGCCGAGATCGAGTCGGATGTGAACAACGGGTTTATAACACATGCTCAGCAGAAGGCGGAAATGATTATTGGGCAGCTTACAAGGTTGCGCTCCGAGGAAAGATACCAATGGATGGAGAGGGCGGAACAATGGATGGACAGGAACGCCGAGTCCAGTTCAGAAGAGTCTGACATGCGAAAAGCGGCACTTTACCAGTTACGGGCAACTCAGCTTGGAGCAAACATGCAGAGCACACAAGCCGCGGCTTGGGAACCGTGCATGGCTGTCTTTGAGGATGCAGTATCCCTGTATATGAAGCACAAACGGATTTTAGAGGCTGCCAACACGCGAATGATGCAAAGCCGGGCTGTTTTTCGGCGTTTTCAGCTTTCATCTTCTGCGGAGCTGCTTCAGCGCTCCTTGGAACTCATGGACATATCGCTTGACCTGTTCAAGACGGTAGACAACGTCGCCTTCATCACCCTGGCCAATCAATATAGATCTTCCACCATCTACACCGGCTGGACGTGCGGCTGGGTGAGCGCCGAGGCTGTGCTTGCCGCGCTGAGAGACGCAGAGGAAGCTTGGGCACGAGAACGAGCGGACATGACTGTGTTTGCCAGCCTCGAGGCCGTCTCTCGCAGACAGAAGTTGACGTCGGTCAAGGACCTGCGAGACGTCTACCAGCTCGCCTTTTCGGTTTGTCTTCAGTCGGGGAAACTGAAGGAACTGTGGGAATGGACGCAGCGAGGCAAAGCTCGCAGCTTGTCCGACCAGCTTGGAGTGGATGGAATCATCCCCGCCGACTTGCGAAAACAAGCCCTCGACTGTCCCGAAAGGAGGGACTTGATTCAAAAGTCGGAGGACCTATCGAATCAAATTACCGCTAGTACGAACATCGCACGTCTCAGACTTCGCGGCGAGTTGGATGCTGTGCATGCACAAATGCGTCAAGATCCGCTGCTCAACACCATTCTCGACATCAAAAACGGAACACCCGTCAGGTGGGAACAGATTCAGCAGCTGGCCCTTGACATGAAGAAGGAATGCCCAAGACGGGATGTCGTCTTTGTCGACTGGGTGGAATACCTGGGCTGCTTTTGGGTCGTGCTTCTCAAGAGCGGCTCTGAGCAACCTACCGTTGTTCGGTGCTCGCCGCCTGTCCATGACGTGGTTTCCTGGAAACAGCAGTGGATGGACGCGGATCCGGGACAGGTTTCGGCTCTAGAAGAAGGCGATTTGTACCCCGAGGACGATCCGGAATACAGCTTGCGCGCCCTCGATGGCCTCGTCGCGCCGTTGGAGAATCTGACGCAGCCACGCGACCTCTTGGTCTTCTGTCCGACTGGTATTCTACACTCGATACCGCTACACGCCCTCTGGACCGCGTCCAAAACGCTCATACTCGAGCGGAATCCGATAGTCTACAGCGTCAGCCTGACGACTTTTCGGCAATGCTGCGACCGGGCGAGCAGCACCAAGAGATGGGCGCCAGCATCAGACGAGACGGAAAACGGCCGCATCACGTCTAGGAAATGGACTTTTGCGGCCGTCTTTGAGCCGGTGCCAGACGAATCGTTCAACCCCAGAGAGCAAGACCGCGTGTACTCGCTGATTGCAGAAACCGCAGCCACGCTGAAGGCGGCATCGGCAACCAGCGCCACGGTGACAAGGCAACATGTCCGGGAATCGCTGGAGGATTCGGCGCTGTTCACCTTCTACGGCCACTGCCGTCTGGAGCGCGAGGACCCGGCTGCCCAGGGACTGCAGCTCGCGGACGGACGGCTGACGGTGCGGGACATGTTTGACATGAAGCTTCGCGCTCCGCATGTGACGCTCGTGGCGTGCGACTCGGCGTCTCAAGGCATCGCGGCGGGCGACGAGCCTCTGGGCATCGTCACGGCGTTGCTCTGCGCAGGCGCGGGCTCCGTCTTGGGCACCATCTGGCCGACGGCGACTCGCGCGGGCCGCCGCTTCGTGACGCAGCTGTACCGTCGTATTCTCCGCCACAGAGTTGACGGCGGGAGAGCTGCCTTGATTGATCTGGCGGACGTGACACGGGGCGCGGCGTTGGCGTTGCGTCAAGACATGGACACGGTTCAGCCGTACCATTGGGCAGCCTTTGTGCTGCACGGATCTTGGGCCATGTATGATTGAAGAGTCGTCGGGCAGTCGTGTGTTTTGGTGGCAAGTTGAAGAAGAGCCTGAATGCATATAATGAAAGCTGGCGACTCGTGGATACGTCTTGGTGGCGCCTCGCACCATCTGTTGGCCGCGTGGATTTACTCATTTACGCTTCAAGATGCTGAAATAACAAAAGTATCAACGTTTAAAGAAAGATGTTACAGTGGTCATCACAACGATGCAAAAGTTTGTTGTTTGCATTATGAGTTCCTTAAACCTGCTCGCCCTCTCCTTTTCCCCGACGACGACGATCGCGGAGCGCATATCGCCACTCCTTTGCAATTTTATACGCCAGGAGGAAGCCCAGGGTGACGAGCAGACAGCACGCCACCAGAATCGCCGCAACGCTTATAAACAGCGCCGTGCGCGCCGAACCACTCGACGCGTTGTCCCCAACCGACACGACAACTTGCAGCGCGCCGAGGATCACGGACACTATGGCAAACACAAACACCACCGGCGTGAAGAACCTGGAAAAGTAGTCGCCGTACTGGTAGTCGACCCGCTGGAAATGCGACTTGCCCAGAAGAAACGGCGCGTAAAAGTTGAGCCGCGTCAGTCGGATCTCGCCGTAGGCATATCGGGACGAGACGTCGCGGTCGCGGACGTGGCGCAGCTGCGAGGCGAATGCGCAAAACTGCTCCCAGGTGACTTCGCGCGAGACAAGGCACAAGGCGGCGTCCTGGGCGATGCGAAAGTCGGACTCGTGCCGCAAAAGGTGGACGTACGTCCTCAGGTATCCCAGGGCTGCTCGGCGGATGCGCTCCGCGTCCTCGCCCGCCAGGTAGTCTGTCCAGAAGGCGTGCGAGGTCAGGTACCCGGGCAGCGGCTTGACGAAGATGCGGTCGTGGATCCAGACGAGGTGGAGCTTTGGGTCTTCGGTGATGACAATCTTGCGGCGCTTCACCAGCTGCCGATGCAGAGGGGAGATGTTGCCGCTGTCCTGCTTGGACATCCACCACAGCTTGTCGGCGACGCGGTCCAGATCGTCGGAGCAGAACTCGCTCGTCAAGAGGTCCCGGAGCTGGCTTCTGTCGCCGAGAGAGACGTTGGGATGAGACGGCAGCACGTGGCGGCGGGCCGGCCCGTCGTCTAGATCCCGCGATAGTTGATGCTCCGCGGCAAATGGTGGAGTTGGCGGCGCAATGGTCATTGTGAGTTGTGTGGACTTTGGTCCTACGACTTTTCAGTCGCGTCATGTAGTCGAACAGGCAAGCAGAGGAAAATAAAGGAGTTGACGGCCATCATGTAGCTTGCGGCTGAGCTCTCTGCCCAACAGGTTGCCCAACCGGCTGGGAGGGTATGGCGGCACCACTCTTGTGGTAGTATCTCTAGTAGGCCTTGTCGCATTCTGAGGCTGCCAACTGCCGGGCCATGTAACATCGGCATAAGAGAAGGCTGGTTGATGATTGTGGTGTCACCTCTGCCGTTTCTGTTGTTGCCACGACCCTCCAAATGAGGCTGCTTGTGACAGCCAACGGTAGCTGCTGGGTTGTCCGACTTTCACTAGATGGGAGTGGTTTTGTCCCCTGCCTTGGTGGCTCAGCTCTGGCCTCCAAGTACCGTTGACATGTGTGAGACAATAATAAGGCTGGCTGCATATACTCGATGAGGCTGCTCTTGGCGGCATCAAGAATTGTTACCTGGCTATGCTTGACTTGCCTAACCTTGTTCAATTATTTCGGTTAACTTCATTTGACTATTATTTGTATATATTCAAGTTACCTTATATATGAATGTTAACCTAAATAATAGCTTTAAATATATCACATTTCTATTTATTATAATATAAAATAATAAAATATAATATCCCTTTACGAAGTATAATAAGAATAAATTAACTTATAAAATTAAAATACTTTATTTTTCATATTATTATTTTTAAAACACTTGAAAACTAATAAAATATATTATACCCTTTACATTAAATTTCCACCTAGCCGTCTCTAAACCACGTGAACTTCTTTCTCATATGTTAATCTAAGCACTATATTCTCCCGTTAAAGAAAGAGCGCTTTTCAACTAGAATTCTTGCATCTCTTTCAAGTATTAGATTCTAATTATATACCCCGGATTTGTGCTTAGGAGGATTATAAGTCCGGTCCATCGAAATGAAACTACTCACTGCTGCCAATAAAGCTAACACAGTAACTAAAGCTCGCATGCGAACGTGGCGGGACCACTTGCCCGCCTAAATAAGCTTGCTAAGGCCTAACGTTGTAAGGTGGTTAGGGAACCCCGCT